GAGTGTGTAAAGACCAAAATCGAAAGTAGGAAAACAAAAAGAAGAAGCTAAGCAAGAAGATGGAATGGTGATAACAGTCAGCGATGAAGAGATGGCTTGGGCTAAAGAAGGTTTCGTTAGATTTGTTCAGAATGCTAACCAAATATGTATGCTATGAGATCTTATGACCAAAGAAGGAATTACATCTATAAAGGTGATCCCTTTGGGGGAAACAAAGTATTTTTAAAGGTCGATGAGGATGAAGACATAAAGGAGCTGGTGAAGGAGTCTGAAGGTATTTTCCAACAATGGTTTAGAATATTGAGGGACTGGGGACTAAAAGATTTAAGGGGATCACGATTCACGTGGATTCAAATGTATGGGGTACTAGTGAAAGCTTGGAGAAGGAAGGTGTTCACAACATTAGTAAAAAAGTTTGGGACGTCAATAGATGTAGACTCAATGACAAAGAACTTGCAAAGACTAGATGTGGCTCATTTTCTTGTAAGAACATCCATGATGGAATTCATCAACAAGGTGATTAAAGTAAAGGTTAAACAAAGAAGGCTTCCTTATTGGAAAAATAGAGGAACTTTGTGATTGTTCAAGTCATGAAGTGGTTTTAGAAAATGTAGGAGATGACGTTTCAACCAGTTCTTACGAGTCCTTCATTCCTCCGTTAATGGTGTCACTGGAAGACAAATAGAACGTGCAGGAGATAAAAGACAATTATATCAAGTTAATGACAACTTTGGAAAGGTCAAAACCTTTTATTATATAAGGGAAAGTGGCCAATAAAAAGGATGGTGTGTCAGATAAAGTGGCACTAGAAAACATGTTAGAGGAAAAAGGTAGACCGGATGAAGAAACAACAACTAATGTAGAGGATAAAATGAATGAATCTGAAGTTGAAGGTAATAATGAGTTAATGGGAAGTGGGGCCCAACCATCTAAAAACAATCTAACTTGTTTAATAAAATATACGGATGTAAGCAACATGAAAAGTCAAGAGGAAATGAATACAAATGAGGTGGACCTACTATATTGTAATGAGAAAACTTTAAAATTAAAAGAGTTAGGCCCAATAACGCAAGAAGTGGGACACGTACAAAGTAATTCCATTCAGAAAGATAACAATAAATATAATGTGGATGCACACAACAGTAACAACAAACACGTGGCAAACTATGACAATGGAAGGAGGCTTATGTGTAATGTTAAAGAGAGTTATACTTACAACCAGTAGTAAGCACAACTGAACGAAGTAGAGAGGACACAAAATTTTAAACAGGATAATAGTCAAATTAATAAAGAAATTATATGCAGAAGAGAAACAAACGAAAAAAGGAGAGGAGATAGAGTAACCTTATTCCTTCAAAGAAAAAAGAAGACGAAGGTGAGAAATCATAAAGGAAAAGAGGAAAGCATGAAGGAAATGGAAGAACAAAAGTGCTAAATGCACTTGTAGACAACGTAACCAACCTAACAACTAGTTAAACGAATGTCCTAGTTTAGTCTTACCTGGTAATGGGTTAGAAAAGAATAACTAGATTTTCTTACATGGAAATGCAACACAAATTGCAAAAAGGTGTGCAGGATTTAGTGAGAGATTATAGTATATTTCATAAGGGAGAGGAAGCGAAAATAGTTTAGGAATTAGCAATAGGAGTTTGCACCAAAAAATGAAAATCAGGAGATGGGAGAGGTGGTGATGGCTAGTAAATTCGGGGTTCAAGAGCTGGTTTTCACTAATTATCATTATTATGAAATTGATCAGCTATAATAGAAGGGACATTAAAAAAATTAGCGTTGAATGAGAAACCATATATGATTTGTATTTGAGAAACAAAGATGAGAGTTGTGGACACGAATCAATGTGTAATGATGTGGGAGTCGACAAAATGTGATTTTACTTCCATGGCATCAGAAGGAAGGTTAGAGGGTTTGCTAACAATATGGGATAATAGTGTTTTCTCATTACAAAGGAAATATAATAGAGAATGTATGTTAACTTTGTAGGGAAGTGGGAAGAAGAAAAACACTTGGTCGTCATATTGAATGTGTATGCACCAAATGAGGCAAGAAAAATGAAAATGTTGTGGGAGGACCTTTTATCATTCGTTGCGGTGAAAAGTGGGACTAGATGGTGTTTGTTGGTAGATTTTAATGCAATTCGAGTGGAAACGAAAAGGAAAGGGATGAACACCTATAATAGAAGAAAAGAAATTGATGCATTTGATGACTTTATCACAGATGTTGAGTTGATTGATTTACCTTTACACGACAAAATGTTTATGTGGTCTAGATTAAATGGACCAACAGTGATTCAACTCGACAGATTTCTTATTTATGAAGCATGGTATTAGACATGGTCGGAGTGTAGCTAGTAGAGTTTAGACAATGAACTATCATATCATTGTCCGATCATTTTGAGTGAAAAGAAATTAAAATGGGGATCAAAGTCATTCAGTATGCTAAATTGCTGGAGAGAAACAAAGGGATATCACAAATTTGTTGAAGAACAATGGCGAAACATAAAGGTGGAAGTTTAAGGGATGTATGTCCTCAAACAAAAATTAAAATTAATTAAAGGAAGTCTCAAAGAGTGGCACAAAAACAACACTCAAAATATTGGAGAAAAAAAATCAAAGAGACAAAAGTAGAAATCAACAGACTTGAAGCAAGAGGAGAGGAAATTTGCTTGTCAAAAGTGGAGATTTGCGTTAAGAGAGAGGTAACAACACAAATATACAAACAATCAAGACTGAATTACATCATTCAATGACAAAATTCCATAACTAGGTGGTCAAAAGAAGATCATGCTAAGTCCAAGTACTTTCATGTATTCTTTACTAGACAACATTTATCTTGTTTTATTGGTGCCCCTTCCTCTTATAAGGATTATTTATGAAAGGTCTAACAAAAATCTATACTCGTAAAAGTACATCGGTGATGACTTTACCAAAGAACTAATAATGTTGCAGTCGAATGATCTGTGAATTATTTATATTGTTTTCCTTCGTGATCGGCTCCTTGTATAGTTGTATTAACCCATTCCAAAATCAAGACTCATCGAAGGCCCTTTAAGGTGGGTGTCTTGATTAATATGGTCTCTTAATAGTAAATCCGTATTATAAGTGGGAGACCGTCATATCTAAATGCCCAATCTAAAATGGATTGAATAAGTTGTTGTCCACGACTATCTGCATCATAACTCTCACCCCTTTTGCAATAATAAGAAGGAAAAAAAAGGAAACTGGATGATTTCTTTGTTTTAGCTCTTGTTGAATACAAATTTTATCCATATAAAAACCGTTAACCAACGCAATTGTACTTCTTGCAAAAATACAAACATGCGTCCACAATATTCACTTTTTGCTAAACCTATGACATACACTCCAAGTAACTTCAATCTACTGAAATCATATGATCTTTCAAAATACACCTTCAATATTAAACATTCTTTAATCTTCTTATTCACAAAACCAACAACTTCGTTAACTGCTAGCATACTATTTATCAATTGCCTCCCTTTGAAGAAAGTCGGATGCATATGAGAAACTAGAATCTCTATTACCTTTGTCAATGTTATTGCTAAAACCTTTGTCAAAAAAATTATAAAAAACACCTAAGCAAAGAGATAGGTCTGAAATCTTTGATACTTTAGGAGATTTAACCTAAGGTTTCAACCTCAGAAATATAAACACTTTAGGAGGTAAACATTTTCATGGTATAAACTTTGCCACGAGTTGCTGTATAAGTCCTCTCAGTATTCTCATTCATTACAAAAATCAATTTTTCAAGCACGTTCTTATTCCAATCACCATACCCTTTAACATCTTCCTATTTCACTTATTCAAAGTAAGCATCAAGAAATTGTCTCAAAAAGAACCAATCCTAAGATTCTTTTTATTCTTCTTATTACAATTCTTTTTGTTCTTCTTATTACCACTCATGTTATCGTAACTAAAAATCTCACCTTTCACGGTTTATTTAGTTAACTCATGAGTAATCCGTGAGACTCATGAAAAGCTTTGAAACTAGATCAACAATAGAAGGGTGAAGATGAAAACCACCTTCAGCAATGCTTATAATGGAATCATCATTGTTATATATCCATGCACTCCCAAGGTTGTCCAGAATGAAGTGAGTTTGTTTGTTGAAATATTTTGTGAATTAGATTGTTACGAATTCCATGGATCCATGTCTCTCCCATCTAAATCTTGTCACCACCAAACTCTGAAGTGTTGATTCTTCCACCAATTCTAGCTCCACAACAATACAAAGTTCAAATAAGTCATTTGAAGTTGTTTAAGTGTAAGAGCTTGTTTTCTGTTGTTAAGCTGATTTGCTCTGAAGATTAACTTGATTCTCTATTGTCTGTTCTCTTCTAGGTGTCTGAAAAGAAAAAGCTTTCATGGACTTACTTAAACTTGGTGGAGTGTGAAATTAGGTATTTTCACAAATCACACTAGTAGTTAAATTGCAGAAAGAAAAGAACATTATACAGCAAATCAATGAACGGCAGAAATATCAGAAAAGTACTTTCATCCAAAGATTTCGCGATTATATTCTCACTAGCTTCCTCTCCTTTGCCAGATCCAAACAAGGTTAAACCTTTTCTATTCCAGCTATAATCTACACATATTTTCGTCGGGCATTTAATGGTGACCCCTCACCTCGAGGATACACCATCAATTTCATTATCCATCAATTTGAATGAAAATAAGCAGAAAACACTCGTGGAAAGTATATCTTTGACAAACAATGCAAAAGAATACAAGAAAAACACAATGTACACCTGAAAATAAACAATTTTTTAACTAAGTAATCTGATTATCAGTCTCACTCAAGCGATTTCTTATAAAAGGTACAAAATTTTGCATTTTCTGTATCAGTAACTATGCAAGCTTGATAGGTAGTCAGGATCCAGTTTGATGTCGGTCAAAATAATCATCATGTACAAACCTCTACCGCATCACAATATTTCTAATAATGCACTGTTCAACTTGCAAAGATAATCAGACAATACTGAATGCTGACTGTAAGGTAGACGAGAACCGAGAGGCAATTGTCTGAGAGGCATATTGTTGAATCTGCTTCTTAGCATCTGAAAGAAAACCAATCAATTGTTATCCATTGCAAGTTTTTCAAATGAACAGCACGTAAAGATGAAACAGTAAATTGATATGGGGAACAATCAACAAAGAGAAATCCTTCATATTGGGTAGGAAGACAGAGGGGGCAGAGCTTGAGCAGAATCACAAATTACAAAATCTGAAACTAGGCTTAGAGAAAGTCCTACACAGCATCTATGTGCTCGCACATATCTATATCATTTGAAATGGAATACAAATGAAAATAAGAGAACCCAAAGTTCCCAATCCCGTAGAGGGTACTATAACAAGGGTCAAATTGCATTTTCACTCCAATTATGTTTCTTGTTAGTTAAACAACCCCACTTCAACTATTAATATTACTACAACAATGGCAATAATAATAGCATCCTTCGATTTTCTGGGAATATAAACTAATGGAGACTCGAAATTTAGAGATAGAAATTAAGTAAAGAAGAAATAAAAACAATGGAAAATAGAATATATTTGACTGATGAAGAAAATAAAATTGTAGAAAGGAAAGAATCCCAAACTACCCCAAAGCTAAGCTCCTCAGAGATGGAGAAAAATCTCCCTCTGCCTAACCATAATGGTTCCCTAAATATTCTTAAATCACAAACACAATTCACTCACCTTAGTAACTTACTATTGATCCTATTAAGGCATAACAAACTTGCCAATTAAGCATCCTACTTCACTATTTATTTACCATATATCCTTACCACACTCATTATTACATAATTCCCCTTTTTCCTTATGACCTCTACTCAGGTCTCTATCATAAACTGAATGTGTACTAGTGCTTTTCAAGAGATAACCACCAAAATAAGCACAATGGATGTGTTACCCAGCCACAAATACAAGAACGCAGCTAACAAAGCATCAATAGCATAGAACTCTATAGGTATCATAATATATCAGCAACCAAAGCATCTTTGAACCAACTTTATCATAGCCCAACCATAAGAAATTGCAATAAGGTGATCAAATCTAGTTCAGGTGTAATTTGCAAGTACAATCATAAATTTCCCATTTGGTTCATGCATTTATAAGTCAAGTATATCCCCATAAGTCAACAACTTTCTACGAAGTGAGCACTGAGCAGCATGCAGCAAATTATATAATTTTGAATATTTCAAAATGAAAAAAAAAAAAAAAGTGAAACAAGATAAAATTCCGAGATTTCAAGATGACAAGTTATGTTGCACGCATGGTTGTCAAGATCGCAATCTCGATAAAGATCGTTAGGGTATGGCAAAAGCGTATATCGCATGATTGTAACTCGGATTGTAATATCCAACAAATAGACAAAATTATAGAAATAACTAGAAAGAATAACTGTAACATATTATTCTCATTAACTTAATTATCAATACCAAATATTCAATCCAAAAAAACATAATTTCCTCGAATCTAATATTCTAAACAACAACTAAAAACATAATTGTCTCAAACACATTCAATAAAACATTATCTAAAATATATCATTTAGCAGTGATAGAAAAGATGAGAAGAATAGAAGGATTTGACTTAAATTTATAGAAAAAGATAGATGAAGGTTCATTCATGGTATAATATATCGATATAGAATTTATTCTGAGTTCCAATGGCTTTTGTGGCTGTGCAGCTTTCACGATCAGTATTTTTGCACTACTCAAAAGCTCATTTAAAACATTCCGAATCCCAAAACCCTAAAATACTTTAGCGCAGCGGTCAGGGTTTAATTACCTGGTCAGTTTTTGGGCAATATCCAATTATTAATGACCGGGTTGAAACGGGTAAAAATAAAAATGGATCATTGGGATCTCACGATCCCACACTTTAACGATTTTCCTCTATGCTCTCAACGCTCCATCCAAATCCACAATTTTTGTGCCACTTAAAGCGATGGATGGTTACGGCTCGTAAGATCGTACGATCTTGGGAGTTAAAGCGCGATCCCGACAACCATGGTTGCACGTCATAAATGACTAAAAGTTATGCACTAAACAGCTCAATATCTTGTTATTTCAAATAATTCCTCCAACCTAAACCAGTTTTGCAGTATAACAGAAGACATAATTTTAAGAACATCACTACATTTGCGCACCTTTTTTGCATTTGGTAAAACCAACAATATTTGCAATGCTTAGGGTCAAACAAACTCCTACAACAAGGAGATAATCAGCCTGAAGCCTTATGAGCGAGAATATAGCCAACATAATCCACGCAACTGCCTGTACAACAAATCAAATAAAAAAAAATCATTCTTCGTGTCAATCACCAGAGTAAACAACCGTGCTCATTTTATTTTGGCCGCGTGTAGGCAATGAAAACTACAAGTAGATAAAACCTTGGTGTGATGATTGACCAAGTTATTCTCCATCCAGATTGAAAGTGAACGGAGAACTTAAGACTTTAGTTAGAGCACTAATTGGGTCATAACATCACATGTATATTATCCAGCTTAATAAAACTCCCGAAACAAACACATTATGACTATAACACCATAAGGACCTAAGGAAAAACTGAACTATCACTGCATTCTATAACCGATCTACAAAATTTCTTACCGAAAGGTAAAGGGTCCACCAGAAAAGCCATGAATCTTTCTTGTTCATCCGAGCCAATGACTACAGTGGGAAAAAAAAAACACATACAAGATTCATTCATTCATGCATGTATAAAGAATTTGAAACCCATTCTTACACTAGTCATGTTCAAAACAAGGAATACCCACCTCTTGATCCAGACATTCAAATTTCCAAACACTCTCACCAAGATCATCAATTTCATTCCACCATCTCAAACCAACTAAAATCCGTCCACTCACATTCTTAACAACCCAAAAATCAAGAGCAGCAAGAAGAACAGTCACCACAAAAATGATAACAAAGTTATCAATAAAAAGAGCCGAGAGAATGTAAAATGCCAAAGCCGCACCCTGTCAAATACATACAAAATACATCGAATTTCACAATGCGAATTCCTTATCATTATTATTATTATATCAGAGAAAGAAAAAAAAAAGATGCTTCGAAAAACGAGTAAAGTATAAACCTTGAAAAGAACATGAAAGAAGCAAGTCCTTGGATTTGCGTAGTTTTCAACTACAGACTGCACACAGATGAAAATCACAATTAGTTACACTAATCACACAAATCTTAAATGAATCGATAGAGGAAATGAAATCATTGAAGAAATGGAAATCGTTGATGAAGAGTAAGAATCCAGATCTGGAATGATGGGAGAAAAACTAGACTTACCTGGTTGGGATCCATGTGTGAGTGCGAGAGCTTTCAATAAGAGAAGGAACGAAGGTTGTGAGGAATCAAAGACGACGGAGCATACCAGATCTTACACTCGCCGGAGATTTTTCAGACGGAACTTGGTTTCTTTCCGATCCAAAAGTGTGTTAGATTTGCGATGAAAATTGTGTTTATTAATTAACCCCTTCCCTACCTTTCTACTTTTCTTGCTACGGACTAAGGGCTATTTTTCTTATTTTTTTTATTTTTTTATTATTTAAAGAAGTGTGGATAAAATTTTCAAAATTTTATATTCCCTATGTAATTAATTGAGTGAAGGTATAAAAAATCTTTACTTTTATAAAACACTAAAGAAAACACATGACCCAATTTAAATCAAACTCAAACCTACAAAGCATATAGACCAAAAAAATCTAGTTTAAAAAATTATAAACTTTTTAAAAATCCATCTTAAAAATAAGACAATTTTTTTTAGATTTCATTATTAAGTCCGCCAATTCACTAACGGTCACAAACTCATTAAAAAGAAGTCTGATATTAAAAAATGGCGATTGATTTAGAGAAATAATTTTCTCCATAACCTTAGTGAGTCTAGAAGCTAAAACTTTAGCTATAAACTTGTAGAGAGATTCCACTAGAGAAATAGGCTGAAAATCCTCTAACAAAAAAAGATACTTTGATTTTAAAATTAAGGTCACAAAATAGGAGGAAAAACTCCAAGGGAAAGAAACTTAGCTAGGAAATTGGACAAACTTAGCTAGGAAATTGGACAAACAGAATCCCCACTTCCTTTATCAAAAAATACCAAAACCTTCTTAAAAAAAAGAAAAATTAAAACCCTTAAAACTTGACTTTTATTGCCATCACACAGAGAGATCGCCAAATTCAATATTTGATTGGAGAAAGGGGAAGAAAATATATCAACATCAATAAAGAAAATATACTGTAGAGGCACGTCATCAAACCGATGTCTGTCTGTGATAGGTTTTTGAAAATGATCATAGATATATCTAGTCGCATCCTCCCAGATCTCTTCCACTATTTCAATCCAACTCTCACTCACCCGAAGAGCCAAGATAGCAATCCTCATATTTATGTTGTTGTTGTTGTTACTTAGCAAAGTTTTATATGTTATATGTTGTTGTGATTGAGAGTGAGATTGAATTTATTTTATTTTATTTTGCATTGTTGAGAATGTTATATGTTGTTGTTGTGACTTAACAATGTTTTATTTTTAATAATGTGAATTAGTAAAGTTTTTAATTTAGCAAAGTTTTCATTCAAGATTGATGACTTTACAAGGATTTTAATTTAAGTTTCAAAAAGTATTATAGATCGTAGTTAGATAAAAGGTAATAGATCGTAGTCGCCGAGGCTCACCACCATCAAACCTCCTCACGGTTCATCTTCTCTTTCACTCAGTTTGACCGGCCGTGTCTCGTCATCAAAAAAACTCAACCCTTAATGTCATCACTCTCACTTCCTCCAAACTCTTCTTCTCCTCCCAATACCAAACCCTAATAGCCACTGAAACTACATAACCTTCTTCTTCCCAGATGATTTAACCTAGCCGCCTTTCTCCTTCATTCCTCCATTTCCGTCTCATCCCTTTCTCCTTCTATTTCAATCAGTGATTTGCAGTTAACATATCACGTTAGAGATGTGCTTCTTGAAGTCTCGGTAATCATTCTTAGAGATTTTTAACCATAATTTTTTTGTTCAATTTGATAATTAGTCACAATCGTTAAAAAAATTAAGCTTTATTATTAATTTTATTTTGTTCAGCTTGAGAGAATGAGCTTCTGGAATTTGGCTACAACATATAAGAATTATGATGCAACTGATATCATGGATGCTTTGATTGAGCTCCTCGTATCATTGGTGAATATTTTATTTTGCATTACCTTAATATCTTTGTAATTTGTAGATGAAGGCATTTGAGAATTTATTGAAGTTTTCTTAATATGTATTTTTTGCAGGCTGCTTCGAAGGGAATGTATATTGATTGGTGTTTGGAGAGGCTTGTGAGGCATTTTACTGCTCCTAAACATGTCATTGATTTTCTGAAAAATGAAAATGGAGCTGATAGAAAGAATAAGGTTTTGTCTCGGGTGCATGATGCTCTGAAACAAATAGCTAATTTGGTGCCCCTTGCTCCCATGCTATTATCACCAATAGTTGTCTAGAATATACCGAAACGTTATGATGTGACAGAGCATGTGAGTTCAGTTTGCATTTTCAGTGAAATGGTTGTTGCAAATTCTTGTTGTATTAGTTACTCAATTTAATGAATTTAATGAATTTATTGTCTTTCATTTCATGTTATGACATGCCAAATACCATGCTACCTGCACTTGTGGATAAATTGATAGAGTTGGATGTAAGTTTGTTAATCCCCTGTCAGATTTCAGTCAAAACAATGTTGGGACCTTTGATCATTAAGTTAATTTTATTTGTCTTGGATGTAGGTGGAAATTGGATTGGATGGCAACATGCATCCGGATGCAAAATGCATATTTGAAATGGAGTTAGAAGATATTGTTAATTTTGCAGATGATGATGAGAATTGTAATAGTATGGTATGGTCCAATATAATCTATTTTAACTACATGTTACATTCTTTTGATGAAGTGTTGTTTTTAAGATTAAAAAAAAAAGAGAAAATGATACTGTTGTGCTTGGCTTCATATATGGCTTCTTTGATTTCTGTTTCTTTTATACATATTATGTGTGCTTTGAAGTTATCCTGAAGCCTGTTCCTTCTCTGGTGCATTGTTTCATTATATTGTTAAAAGTAAATGCTCGAGGTTATTAAAATAGTCCTTTATATCCTTATCTATTCATGGTTGCTTGAGATTCATTTGAATTCATGTTTCATTTAGGTTGATCTAATGGGCAAACCAAGGAATTGGAATAAGAGTGATCCATGTGCAGCACACTGGACATGAATTTGGTGTTTCGATAAAAAAGGCGATGATGGTTACTTCCATATCTGCGAGCTGTATGGCTTTAATATTAATTTGATAATTAGAAAGAATAAGGTTCTGATAGAAAGATGGAGCTGATAGAAACAAATAGTTGATTTGGTGCCCCTTGCTCCCATGTGATTATCACCAATAGTTGTCTAGAATATACCGAAACATTACGATGTGACAGAGCATGTGAGTTCAATTTGCTTGGATAGGAATTTGATGTTTCGATAAAAAGGGCGATGATGGTTACTTCCATATCCGTGAGCTGTATGGCTTTTTTGTCAATCTGTTTCCTTTTTGTTTCGAGTCTCAATGATTTTTTTTACTTAGAGATCTGAACTGTTTTGTCATTGAATTTTACTTAAGCTACCTGATGACTATGAATCTCTTGGGCACTCTAGCGCCGCAACTTGGTATGCTTTCCCAACTCAACATAATGTGAGTTTTCTCATTTCGTAGATTATTTTTGAACAAAAGTATATGAATTTGAAGAGTAAATGATAATATCTTATACCGTGCTAATATCTTCTGAAGGGATTTCATGTGGAACAATCTGGAATTTTTCAGAAGGAATTTTGTCATTAAATTTTCAAAAGGAAATTTTCAAACCTCACTTCTTTTACAGTTTTTGAGAGATCAAGAATCTGGCTTTGTGACAATTCTCATCCGGACACGGATTTTGCCACTGTATACCATAGCTGTTTCTGTACCACACCTCATTACAAGTGTAAAATGGGTACTTGGAGAACTAGGCTCCTGTTTACCAGAGGTAAGTCGCTTAATCTAGCTATCACAACTCAAGCAAATTTTGTTTCATATGAAGTTACAATATATTTCATGTATCTTGCGTGATATAGTCGCGAAAACATTCTGAGGTGATTCAATCTTGGTTTCTAACCTTGTGTGTCATTCCAGGAGATGAGTGCTGATGTATATTCTCAATTGCTTATGACATTGGTTATGCCATAGTTTTTGGTGTCTCCAGTGATGCATTACATATTTCTTAGTTATTTTCAGAGGCTGAATATGCCACTCGCACATGATGTTGTGGTAACACAATTAGTACTTTTGATCCGAGTTTGCATCTGCAATAGGTGGTTGAGCGTGGAGTCGCTACTCTGGCAGTTATGGGTTAAACATGGGAAGACTCTAGGCCTGAAGTATCTGATTCTGAATCAAATGATTTGCAAGAAAAATGGGCTGCAGATCAGGCGACAATTGGCAGAGCTTTTGCTGCACTGTTGCAGCAGGTTTGGCTAACACCTTTGTCCACACATGTTAGTTTGAGGGCCTGGCTAAATTTGATTTTCTCAGGAGTATTATTCTGGAGGAAAATCCAATTAGAGAGTTTGAATGGGTTTCTTGAAACAATAGCTGTGATGATTTCACTTGTGTGGTGGAATTCATTCTCTTTTTGAAATTCCCCAATTGTTTTACAACTGCCGTGATAATATAATGTCCCGATTGCATGCACTTCTAATTTAGATCCTATTTGATGTACAATCAGACTGGTTGTGCTGATTAGTCTTTTTGCTTTCAGATATTAGCTGCTTGCCTTTAATTTAATCATACATTATATTCATATGAAATGTTTTCAATGTCAATTTATTTGAAGTATTTTTTGAATTTTATAAGGATCAACAAGACCAGAATTCTCTGACTTCATCATGCATAGAAGATTTGTCAACTTTGCTACGATCTGTTATGCTTTCTATTGATTCAAGCCACTTGATTCAAGAGCTGAAAGTGTCAGAGCTGCTGCCAGTTTGGGCTAAAATGATTGCAAAGTGGCACGCATGGGAAGAATCAGAAGACTTGTCAATTTTTGATGTGATTAAGGAAATCGTGAATTTAGATCGTTCATATAGGCTGAAAAACTTTCTTGTAAAAGAGGTTCCACCCCCTCCAACTCCACCTGTGCCTAAACGTTCAATTGTAGAAGGAATTAGAACTTTTGTTAGTGAGGCCATTAAGCAATATCTGTTAGAACACAGATTGGTTCTTAATAATATCTCTATGTTTTGATGATAACTATTATGA